TTTTTTTCTAATTTCCATAGACCTAATTCATCTTTCTTTGATCTAATCATCAAATAAAGTTCTTTTAGTCATTTCTTAAAATCTCTCCCACTGCCAATTATAAATAGATCTCATTTAAAAAATATTCACAAGTAACTCTGACTTGAAAATAACTTGCATTCCACACAATTAAAGAACATTTGGCCCAACTACATTTCACCATCTCCCTATATCTCCAACTCAGCTCCACAAGCTTCTGCCCAAATGGAAGAGAGAACATTCTGGTATATGTTACTTCACAAAAAGCTTAAAGAGAGGCAATATATGTTTCCTTTGATCCTCACCACTGAACTCTTCTCAAAAATTACTCTAAGGAAAATATGATTAGGAGCCCAGAACCCTGGTGCTCTATGTGTAATCCTATATATATGTTGTGACCTAGAATCTAGCTACATAGGACTCAGTCTTTAAAAACAAAAGCCTGATCCATTCAATCTTTAAGAATAGTCAAAGTAAACCTATTTTGAGATAAAAACTATTCTCTGAAACTCTAATCTGTATTGCCAACATAACAGGAATTGAAAACTTTTAGTGATACCTGAGGCAAGAAACCAATGTGATACTGTGATCTAAAACCAATGGCTTTTAAACTCTAGACATCTTATTTATGAATTCAGACTGATTTATCTTTCAAAAAGAAAATCAAAAGAAATCTGCCCTCACTGATAGCTTCTCTGAATTTAAAGTTAATTGCTCTGCTAATTCATATCATGCCACATATCAAAACAAAGGACAAATATTAGAGAATAGCTCCATAAAAGAGTTCGATAATGGTAAAATATCAAAGTTGGATGATAAAGATCTGGGAAACTGACCACAGCTGTGTAAATCAATTAGACTTCTGGAATATATAAACTAAATAACATACTTTCAAAACTGCTATGACTCAGAAGATGATATTTACATGAAACCTATTAAAACAGAGGGGAAAAGAACAACATAAGAATAGCAGGGAAGTGAAAAAATGACTTATAAAGAAGACCCTTTTCACCTGCTTCAGTTTTTTCTTCTTCTCTTTGCTGGAGAGCTTGCTGTCTGTTATGACTTCCTCCAACAAGCCTGCCAGAGGCTCTTGAGAGCCATATGCTCTTTGGTATTCAAATTCCTCTGGACTAATTTGACGACAAAATGAAGGAGCAGATAAAGTGATATCCATATCAGCTCCTGGGTATTTTATCTGAGGCAAAAGGATTAGTAGAGTTAAAGGAAAAGGTGAATTTTCAAATATATTACAAAAACTAGTTCAGATCAAATATGGCATATTTCCTAGGAGGAATGCCATGTTATTCCTCAACTTGATTGGAGAAAATGCTATAATGAGAAATAAAAGTGTTTCCATAACTTCAAAATAATACCATTTAAAGCCATAATTTTAAATATGAGATTTTATCTTTTTAAACTCAAGATTCATTTTTATAAACAAAAAAGTCTTATCCTCTTTTAACAAGATCTGAAATTTAAACATAAACATATTAACTAAAATAATTCAAAACAGTTATAATGCTGAACGTACATTGTGAACTATCCAGGCTCCTGCCCACAGCTGGAGCGTCTAATTCTCCCTCCCTTGGGGATGGACAGAGGCATGCATTTAGCTAAGCCATTATGTAGAGAGAGGTACTACAACCACCCATAAATGTTTTACTATTGAGAATCAAGTGAAAACAATAAATGTGCAGACATTGCACATGGCAAAAGGGAAAAGGAAGAAATAAGAGGAAAAAGGAAACCAAGACCAATAAATGTTTATTTATGTGAATAAATGAACATCCATTCAAGATATTTAATTTCAGAGTCCAGAGTCTTTTAAAAAATATAGCACCCTACTGTTCTACTGCAATGGATAAAATATCCAGAATATACAAGGAACTCAAACAACTTGACAGCAAAAAAAAACAAGCTACCCAATTAAAAAATGGGCAAAAGAGCTGAATAGGCATTTCTCAAAGGAAGACATACAAATGGCCAAAAGACACATGAAAAAAATGCTCAACATCACTCAGCATTCAGGAAATGCAAAAAAGAACCACAATGAGATATGGAAAATGGTATGGAGGTTCCTCAAACAACTACGGCTAGAACTGCCATATGACCCAACTATCCAACTGCCGGGTGTATACCCAAAGGAATGAAAATCATCATGTTGAAGGGATACCAGCACTCCCATGTTTATTGCAGCTCTATTTGCAATAGCCAAGAATCAGCCTACATGCCCATCACTGGATGGGTGGATAAGGAAAACATGGTATATCTACACAATGGAATGCTACTCTGCTATAAAACATAATGAAATGCTACTATTCGCAGCAACATGGATGAACTTAGAGAAAATTATGTTAAGTGAAATAAGCCAGGCACAGAAAGAAAAATACCACATGTTCTCACTTAAACGCGGGAGCTAATAAAAATAAATAAATAAATAAACAAACAGAAAAAAAAAGACACAACAATAACAATAATTCCTTGAACTTGTTAAGAGAAGAGAACAGACATGATGTTGATGGGGGTGAAACAGGGAGAGTGAGGGGGTAAAGGAAGGATTTGGTAAAGGGCCATGAAAATCAACTATATTGTATAATGATAAATAAAATAAATAAATAATAATTTAAAAATACAGCACCCTTCTGTTCTACTGCAATGGATAAAATTCCCACTGTTCAATTCACTTCTTTGGTTTAAGACTGTGTTTTTCCAGAAGCCACAGCTAAAATAAATATGTTGGCAAGAGGAGTTTGCACATTAAGCACATTCCATGCCTCAATATCAGTTTATCAGATCAGTTAGTGACAACCTAAGATAGACAGATGACAGACCAGAACCATAAGGAAAAGGGACACTTTCTTTTCTATTTGAAGTAAGAAGTGCAAAAAAAAGCAGAGAAGGGCCAGAGTAAAGGGTGAGGCCCAGGTAGAGTGGGACAGCCAGATGCCTAGGTCATAAGAAAAACTCTAGATACCCAGGATTGAAGGGCATAAGAAGAAGGTTGCAAACAAGGTTGACAGGAGGCTGGTGTCAGAAACATTGTGTACCTCACAATGGGTCAGCCCTGAAACTGCCACCAAACATTTCACTGGAATAATCCAAGCAACACTGTGCATTTCCAAAGAAGCATTGCACTAAATGTGGTATGGTGTAGCAGTTTAGTGGCCTATTCAAGAGAACAGAGATCTGAGTGCTAAAACGAACAACTGCATGGTAATTCTACGGAGTACTTCCAAGAGAGAAAAAGTAACTGGACAATTGAGTAGTTACTGATTTTATTCAGTGTACACAGCAGTGCCTCTTCATAAGACCATGTTTATCTGCAGGTAAATTAATCATCACAGCTCAGCATTCTGGTCTTCAAGCAACAGCAAAGGGCTCACAAGGCTAAGTTGCTGCAATACCTGCCTGTGCTACAACTGTGAATACACAAACCTATCAAGCATACAGTGCAATATAGATACTACCTTAGCATTTCCTTGCAGAAATTCAGGGAAGTATTTCTCCTCTTTTCACTTTTACTTTTTTAAAGATTGGCTCAGAAAATATCAGGGAAAAAAAGATTAAACTGAAATCACAGTATGATTACCTACGAAATGGCAAAGGTAGTATGTGTGTTAATGATAATATCCAAAGTAGACAAAGGTACAAAGAAATGAACACTCACTTTCTTATACCACTGACAGGAATGGAAACTGAAGCAATTGTTCTAAAGGGAAATTTGGCAATATGTTATCAATACTTAAAATATGTTCATGGCGTTTGACCAAGCAATGCCACTCCTAGAAATTTATGCTTAGAAAATAATCATGGATCAGCCAAAAAAAAATCACAGCTTTAATGCCACAGTTCTTCTACCATACCACAGTTCTTAGAGGGGCAATATGGCGTGGTAGTTTACAGCATTGATTCTGGAGACTGACTGCATCAGTTTGAATTCTGGCTCTGTGACCTTGGAAAAATTACTTAAGTTCTCTGTGCCTCAGCTTTCTCATGTGAAAGTGGGAATATTAATAGTATCTAGGTTGCAGGGCTTATATGAATTAAGACATTTATTGCACATAAGTCATTTCCATCAGTAAGTATTCTTGAACAAACTCAATCAAGGAACTTGCAATCAAGAATATGCAGCATTGGGCCAGCCTGGTGGCGCACTATCCTTGGGAAGCGCGGCGGCGCTCCCGCCCGAGGGTTCGGATCCCACATACAGACCGGTTCCCGCTCACTGGCTGAGCGAGGCGCGG